AGTAACCACCATACCCACCCATTCGGGGAACTCATTCCTTATTCATTTAGATGCCTCGCTACAATTTCTCTTTTTTGTCCAAAAAAAAACTATTTTTTCTCTTCTGGCTTTTGTTTGCTACTTTATTTGTTTCATTTGGGTTATTTAATGGAATCCTAGGAAAAATAAAGGATTAATTACAAAAATTTTCTCTGAATTATAATCCTTATAACACTTTATTTTTTTATCTTTATAGTGTAACATTTATCCATCTCGAACTATGAAACGTTAACAAATTAGCTCATTCTGTTAGGATTTTTGACAGACATAACACATGTCACACAGGTAATAGTTATTGTTAACAATTTGATGCATAATTATTCTTCTATCCATTCCCTTAATTTAATTTTTTTTGTTAAATAAATTTCATTTTCATTTAATATGATAAAAATATAACAAAATATACAAATTTTCATCTTACTTAGAAACTAATGAGCTAATTACCAAGTATTAAAGTTTTAAATATATATAAAAAAACACTTCAAAAATATTGCCCTTCAAGGGAAAAAGAGAGTGACATTTTCTGGTAAAATAATAATAATAATAATAATAATAATAATAATAATAATAATAATAATAATAATGAGAGATTGCAATCTCATATAGCAAACCCACAACAACCTCTCATCCCCTCCCCTCCCCACTTCCATCACAGAGACATGGGTGGCAACCAAGCACCATTGGGTGAGAATAAATTGTAGTCAGATTTTCAGAAAATGACAAAAACGTTTTTGTTTTTCATTTTTAGAAAATTTTACACCAAACGCGTTTTCTTCAAGCCTTTTCATTTTTTATTCTCGAAAACCGTGAAAAATGGAAACAAAAAGGGAAACAAACAGGCCCAATGCTTCCACATAGCACTTTCCAGACTGCCATGTGGTAGCCCAGTCCCCTTAACATATGAGGCTACAGTGTGGTGGCTTCTCCTCCCTTTTTTTTTTCTCTTTCTTTACTTTTTTTTATTTTTATTCTTTTCATCTTTGAAATGTTTTTCGTTTTTAATTTTTTGTTTTATGAATTTTTTTTACAGCTTAATTTTTCATGAATTTCTTAAAAATAATTTTTTCTCACTTTATTCCTATTAAACTAATTTCTTTTGTCTATGTTTCTATTTAATTTTTTTTTCTTTTTCTATTTATATTATTTTTTATTCTTTTAAATGTTTTGTTTTTTTATTTATTTTTATTTTAGGAACGCTTTTTACAATTTATTTTTTGGGTGCGTTTTGCTCTTTTCTATTCTTATTTTATTTTTTCATTTTTTTGTTATTTTTCCAAAGCTCTTTTATAGTTTAATCTTTTATCGACTATCTATACATATACTCTAACATCTAAGGTATATAAAAGCAACCAAGTTGACTTGACTACTAAGGAGGTCACGTGTTGGCACCCTTCTTCTTATTTTTTTTCCTTCTTTTTTTTATTAACTTTTCCTCTTTTTCTTTATTTCCTTTTTAATTTTTTAATTTTTTCTTTTGTCTATTTTCCTTTAATATTCTTTGACAATTCTTTTTTTTAAACATCTTTCTTTGAAATACTTTTTTTTCTTACTATTTTTAATTAAAATAAATCCTTGTAAATATCTATATTTTTTTTTGTCAAAAACTCCTATATAACTTTAACTAGTTTTATTTTAAATTATCCTCTTGTATCTTTTTTTATTTATTTTTCTTCTTTCTTTTGCTTATTGAATTTTTTTTCCTCACATTTTTCAACTGTTACTTTTTTTTTGATAATATCATTCTTTAAAACACTTTCCTTCCTCACTTTCTTTTAATAAAAATAATTCCTTTCAAATATCTCATACTTAAATCTTTTGTTCAAAAACTTTTTTATAACTTTAATTCTTTTTCAATGATTTTTTAAATATTTTTTGTTCTTGCTTCAATTAATGGACTTAATTTCTAAAGTGATTATTTGTTTTGACACAAGATTAAACTCATTTATTCCCATATGCGTAGCACATGTCTCATCTAGTAATCTATCTATATATCTATCTATATCTATATCTATATCTATATCTATATATAAAAAATGAGAAAGTGTACTTTGAATAGTGCACTTTCAACTAAAACGGCGTAGTTTTGGTTGAAAGTGCACTATATATCTATCTATATCTAGTTTACTTTTTTTTTTTTACTTTCCACCTTAAAATTTATTTATTTTTTCATTTTAGTCCTTTTAGTCTTTTATTTTTTCTTTTTCATTAAAATTTGATTTTTTTTTTCATTTTGGTTCCTTTTACATTAAAATTTATTAAATTTTCTATTATGGTTCTTTATTGACAATTTTTCTTTACTTATTGCCCTCAAACTTTTTTTTTTCAAGTCCTTTATTTTTTTTTTACTTTTTGCCCTAAGACTTATTTATTTGTTCAATTTAGTCCTTTTTTTTTTACTTTTTTAATATTTTTATCCTAAATTTTTTTCCGTTTTGGTTATTTTTACCCTAAAACTTATTTATTTCTTCATTTTAGTCCTTTTGACCTCTTTTTATTTTTCTCTAAAACTTTTTTTTTTCATTTTGGTTTCCTTTGCCTTAAAACTTATTTGTTTCTTCATTTTAATCCCTTTTTTTACTCTTTTTATTTTTGTCCTAAAATTTTATTTTTTCGTTTTGGTTCTTTTTACCCTAAAACTGAGTTTTTTTTTCGTAGATGGAAAGTATCTAAAAATAGATATAATCAATAGTGAAAAAAAATCCAACCATTAATGTCTTTTTCTATTCAAGGAACAAGCAAGAATAAATCATGTGATGTTGAAAAATAATACGTAAGATTTATCAAATTACCAGCAAGAAATAATAAGACATAATTAAGATAAAAAATCAACAAGTTGTTGAAACAATCAATTGTACCTGAAAAGTTAGAGAATTATAAATAAAGAAAAAAAAAAACATAAATCATATTCAATATTGAAAGGTAAGAAACAATGATTTATCTGAAAAGGTAAAAAATTTCAAGCAGTTGAAGAAAAAAAGTGGTACCTTAACAAGGATGTTAGAATTGTATAGTCTACTGGGACTATTGTTGTTTAGCTGAGGGAGGAAGTAAAGAAAGGTTGTTAACTGAACTTAAGTCACCCTAACTCAAAAAATGTAAATGCACAAGCTCTTAGTTATTTCTTCATTTTGATTTTTTTACCTTTTTTTCATATTAACTTTATTTTTTTTTATTTTGGTTCATTTTACCTTAGAACTTACTTAATTCCTTGAAAGTAATTTTTTGATTTTATCTTGACTTCTTGCTCTTAAAAATTTTTTTTTTATTATTATTTTTTTTTTGCATTTTAGTTTCTATTTATGATTTTATATTCAAATTTTATAAGTTTTTAGGAATAAAATCATCTCAGTATCTTGTATTACAGTGAAATTTAGTACGTTGTGTTTTTTATAATATTAAAGCTGTACTTCGAGGTTTTTAAAAACATCTTCTTGGTACTTTAAAACTGATTTTTGAGATGTAAAATAATCTTAGTACCATTCAATTTAATTAATAAAAAACTAATAGATCTAGAAAAATATCATGAACTTTTTTATTTTGTTATTTTAAATATTTTAGGCCTTGCTCATTTTAGAACTCAAGTCACAACTCAAGTTTTATTGCTACAGTCTTTTTCTTATAAAAATTCAAATTTCAACTTTTTTTCTATATTGTTTTTCTCTCACATACACAAATCAAATTTTTTAACTTAAGTTGTGAAACAAACATATCCTAATTTTTTAAAATATTTTCAGGTTTTTCTTTTTAAAATATTAATTAGAATGGTAGTTTGGATACTACATGTTTCAAAAATTAACTTCAACGTACTAAGATATTTTTAAAAAATGAAGGTACGTTTTAATATTATCAAAAAATAATATATAAAAAATATATTTCGCTATAATATAAAGTACCAAAATGATTTTATCCCATGTTTTTAATAATAACATGATAACTAGTTAGTTATAGTAAGATAATGGCTTAGTTTGATATTGCTGTAGATTTTGAAAAAATTACTTTTAGTTGTATTGAAAGAAAAAGTAGCTGTTACAAAAAGTAGCTGAGTGTTTGATAAACAATAATTGTAGTAGTTATGCTGGTTTCAAAATTAGTGTAATAGCACTTGGTAAAAATTATGACTATATTATATTATACTATAATATAATATATATAATTACAATATAATATATATTTATTATATATATAATATAATACA